TTAGGGTTTAGAAGGTTTAGGGTTTACGGTTTAGGCTGAGGTTTACGGGTTTAGGGCTTACGGATCTCGTGGTAGACCGTCGTTGTGGTGATGAGGACTTGGGGGATGCAGCACTTCACTTAGGGGCCGAGTAGCCTAACCCCAAAAAGGGGAAGCATTGAAACTACTGTAGGGGCCTTAGTAATTAGAATAGGGTTTCGGGGCCCATTATACTCTGAGTTATAAGACGGAACCCCAGAACAGTATTGGTAATAACTTAGGCCCCTGCATTAGCAACCGAAACCTGCAGCATTCAGGCATCATGCTGGCTGAACCTTGACCCCAAATAACCTACCGTTTAAAGGACGTATATAAAGAAAACAGAATAAGGAACCCTAAAAAAAATAGAGTATTTAGGGTCCAGGAATAGAATGCCGATAAGGACCTATGCGACCAGGCAGGCGACCTGAAGATTCCTGCTGCTGAGACCCTAAGCCCTAAACCCCTAAACCCCTAAACCCCTAAACCCCTAAACCCCTAACCCCTAAACCCCTAACCCCTACCTAAACCCTAAACCCTAAACCCTAAACCCCTAAACCCTAAACCCTAAACCCCTAAACCCTGAACCCGCTGCTGGATCGCCGACGCTCCTTTAAACTGACCTTTGCTCGGAGGCCCTTCAACTCCAAAGCTGGCGAGAAGATCAGGGTTTAGAGGTTTAGGGGTTTAGGGGTTTAGGGTTTAGGGTTTAGGGGTTAGGGTTTCGGGTTTAGGGTTTTAGGGGTTTAGGGGTTCGGGTTTAGGGTTTAGGGCTTACGAAACTTTGGCCGTAAACCCACGAAGCTGAGACCCCAGCCCCGTGCAAGTTGAAATGGATGCGATCTCCCGAAGAGAGCTTGTCCGCGGCCTTGTCTCAAAAATGAGAGAGAAGTTGCAATAGTGACAAGAAAGGATCATGCATTATTATTGATGTAAACAGCACCCACAACTCCTAGTGTCTGTATTCGTCCTCCTGTCGGCCGATGTCAGCTCTACACTTACGATAGCCAAAATTTCCGCAACTACCAGCCGTGAGTTGCCGCCTTCAATATCTAGGGCTGCTACCTTCAATCACCATGGCCATTGCCATTCCATGGAATGTGAGAACCCTAAACCCTAAACCCTAAACCCCAAACCCCAAACTCTAAACCCTAAACCCTAAACCCTAAACCCTAAACCCTAAACCCTAAGCTGCTCTTCCCGCTATCCGCCCCCTCATGTCACGAGCAGAGCATGCCGAACTCTGAGGCTCCGCTGCTGCTGCTGCTTTATGGTAATGTATGGGGCCTTAGTTGTAATAAGGAACCCGCAAAATATAGTATTGGGAACTATTTGGGCCCCTATATTATTGCTGGAAATGCTTGCTGTTCTAGCTCCGTGTGGTTGTGGGCGTGGCTATGGTTTTTGGTGCTGGTGGTAGTGCTGGGGATGTGGAAGGTCACGGCAACGGCAAGAGCAAGGGGGGGTTGCCACCGGTTGTGGTGCTGTTGCACTCGTCGTCATCATTTGTGCGGTGCTTTTGCTATCATCAAGTATTTTGTGTCGATGTTGTGACAGTAATAGCGGCAGCCGCAGTAGCAGTGACGCTTTTTGTACTGGTCTTGGTATGTCGTCCTCCTGCGCCTCCTCCTGCGCCTCCTCCTGTCCTCCTGTCCTCCTGTCCTCCTCCTCCTCCTCCTCCTCCTCGTGCTCGTTGTCCTGATCCCTATCCTCGCTCTCTCTTTCTAATCCTCTACTCGTCGTCGACGTTAGCGTCGTTCAGATAGATTTCTGCAATTGCCCATGGCAATACAGTTCAGTCTAGCCCCCCGATCACGTACGACGCTGAGCGAGGCACTCCAATGTCGAAGGACATGACAGTGCCAGAGTCTTGTGTGGACGCATAGAGTGTGTCACCTGAGCTTTGCCGGGAACGGGAGAATTGCGAAACAGGCCGCAAGCATGAAAGAGGATCCACACGACCTTATGAATGATCAAAACACCGAGAACAACAGCAATCGCAGCCATGAAGTTCGCGCAACACGCAAGACGTGTTGTCTACAAAACCGGAAGCTTCAAGACCTAGGACAATGATGCCACTCTGAAACCCTATAAATTCCAGCATGGAGCAGAGCAAAAGGGGCCATGGTTTATGGTCTTCAACCCTACCTTAACCCCAAATAATCTACCTTTTTAGGGTTCCATATTCTGATTTCTTTATATCGGTCCTTCAAAAGGTAGGTTATTTGGGGCTAAGGTAAACCCTGAACCCTTAACCCTGAAGGTTTGGACTCAGGAGGATCCTCCAAGGTTCAACGCGCCCACCCCCCCTTCGGCAAAGGTGCCGATGAATGTCAAGGCGTAGGGGTGGACGAGCATCGGGCTTCGATACTCCTGCGCAGGATGAAGTAGAAACGAATTTAAAAGTTCGAGGACTCGAAGAAACCTTGAGCAGATTCATGGAACCCTGTGCTTCAGCTCATCTTCAGTTGTCAAGGCAATGCATCCTCCACAAACTGGCGCTTTCCCGTGCTGTCGCAAGGCCCTCGGCCGACCGGGAGTTAGGGGTAGGTGGGATGCGTTAACTTCAGCGAACGTCCCTGTTACAAGTAGGATGCCCTAAACCCCCCAGGTATACCTACTATATAGGGTACTAGAGCCCCTTGGGCCCTATATAGTAATTAGGTACCTGGAGGGTTAGGAATGGTCAAAGGGTTCAGGTCTAGGGAGTAGTGGAAGGCTAAGCTATGGCTACAGGCTGTAGTGAAAGTAAGACGATCTAAAGATAACGTCGCACATAGGCCGAAGCCACACAGTCCATTGACGCAGAAGCGCAACACAGCTACTGCAATGCAAGTCCAGGTTAAAACGAGCAATGCGACCCTACGAGAGCAAGCCTGGCGGAAATGGGAAGCACCGAGAGTAGCGATACCAAAAAGATAAAGAGGCGATAAGATTAACCGTGTGGCAGGAAGCTCCAAGCTGAAAGCCAAAATCCGAAATCTGAAACTTCCTTCCTTTGCGGTCTCTCTCAATAGAAGAAAGCATCACAAGTTCCCTCGTCGAGGTTGACTAAGAACCACTGGCCAAGGTCGAGCCAGAGCCCCTTCCGTTCAGGATTAAGGGTTTATGGTGAATGCTGAGACTTTACTAGTATTTTACATACGGTTCTGCATGTACAGTGTTGTGGCTGGAGAGAGTGCTACTGATGCATTCCTTGATGGTGCTGAAAATTGGAGCCGCGATGCTACTCTTGCTCGTACGGTCGTTATAGTAGGCAGTACTAGCTTCCACCCCACTCGATCTTTATAGCGAGCTACTGAGGGCGGCAATAAGACCAGCAGGAACATTTCCCGAAGTCATGAGCCGCGAGCCCAAAACCTTAAGCTTCTATCCAGACCCTGGAAACACACACACACACACACACGCACACGCACACGCACACGCACACGCACACGCACACGCACACGCACACGCACACGCACACGCACACGCACACGCACACGAACACGCAC